GAGTCTCGTGATAATTCTGTAAAAGAACAAATGGCAGTTGTTTTGAGATTTGTTGACAAAAGTGGACAAGTGAAGGAGCGTTTGTTGGGTATTTGCCACATCGCTGATACTTGTGCCCAATCACTCAAGGATGTTCTACACATGGGTTGAGCATATCTAGTCTGAGAGGTCAAGGTTATGATGGAGCAAGCAATATGTCAGGTGAGTTCAATGGTTTAAAAGCTTTAATTTTAAGAGAGAACCCATGTACTATGTATATTCATTGCTTTGCTCACCAGCTTCAGTTGGCAGTTGTTTCTGTGGCACATAGATATGTTATGCTTAGTGATTTATTTAACATGCTTGCTATTATTGTGAATTTGGTTGGTGCGTCATGTAAACGTGTAGATGCTCTTTGAACAAGTTATCATGTTGAAATTCTGGAGAGGCTTAATATTGAGGAACTTTCTGGTGGAACTGGTCAGTTTCAAGAAATGAGTTTGGCACGTCTAGGTGATACTAGATGGGGCTCACATCTAAAGACAGTTACTCGCTTTATTAGTATGCTTAATGCGATCATAGATGTTCTGGAGAATATATCAGAAGTCGGCATAAGTTTACAACAAAAATCAATGGCCATCAGATAGATGGACATTATGCAAGATTTTCAATTTGTGTTCAGTCTCCATTTTATGTTTGAAATTCTTGCAATTACAGATGACCTTTCACAAGCCTTACAGAAAAAGGATCAGGATATTCAGAATGCTATAAGATTATTGAAGTTGTGTAAGTACGCATTGCAGAACATGAGAGACAATGGTTGGGATACTTTGTTGAGTAAGGTAATTCAGTTTTGTGTTGATAGACATATTTCAGTGCCCAATATGGATGATATTATAGTATCAAAAGGTCGACCTAGGTGTGCAAGTCAGCAGGTGACTTATTATCATTGTTTTTATGTTGATTTGTTTTGTTATGTGATAGATTCAATCTTGCAAGAGTTGAATGATCGTTTTTGAGAAACAACTACTGAACTTTTTACTTGCATTTCGTGTTTAAGTCCAAGAGATTCATTTGCAGCTTTTGATGTATGTAATTTGGTTCGACTTGCTCAGTTATATCCTATGGATTTCAGTAGTGAAGAGCTTTTATTACTTAGACCTCAACTTGACAAGTTTCTTATGCTCGTAAGAATGGATGAAGCTTTCTTCAACCTCAAAAGCATATCTTGTGTAGCTCAGAAGTTGGTTGAAACTGGAAGTTCTTGTAATTTTCCATTGGTTTATAGGCTGATCACATTAGTTTTGATATTACCAGTGGCAACTGCAAGTGTTGAAAGGGTATTCTCTGCTATGAATCTAATCAAGAATGATCTGCGCAACAAAATGGGAGATGAAATGTTGAATGGCAATTTGGTAGTTTACATGGAGAGAGATCTTTTTATGAAACTTGAGAATGAGACAATATTGCAACGTTTTCAAAATATGCAACCTCGTAGAATTCAGTTGTCTAAGCTTGCAATTTCAGAGTAAGGTTGTATTGTATATTTTTTTAGCATTTTGGGT